AGAACAGGTTTCGCGGTGGTGCAGGGACGAGAGGCTTGGCACCAGAACTCAATAAGTTCATATAGCGTGTAAATGCAAGTGACGTGATGCTCGATCCGACTCGCCCCACGTCAGCATTTGATGGACATCAGATCACTAATCTGGAGAGAACAATAGGATCGAGTCTTTTGAAGTAACAGCTGATCTTTAAACTCACAAATTGAATGAAATCAACACAGAGAGGCCATGCTGAGCTTAAGATAATCATCAGAGCGAACATCTTCCCTCTGCGGATGGCAGCAAGCCTTGAACAATACCTTCAGAACTGTGGAAAACGGGAAGACGCCTCGCCTTAAGCCTCTAGAACTCTGGAAAGACAACAGCTGATGGAAACGCCGGTTCCCACGCCGCCATTCTTTGGCCGAGCAGGCCATAATGAGATCTTCGAAGAAGCCAAGAACTACCTCTCACAACTTGACTCATCGGAGCTCGACTCCCGGGAAGCATGCACCCCTCGCTCTCACTCAAGCAAGACAATACGCTTTCAAGAGCTCCCACCGTCGATAAGACAGTCATGTCTCGCACTCCTTGGTTGCGTCTTCGGTCCTTCCTACGAACACATGATTGCACAGGGAACGAAAAATGAGAACAGATTATGGTCTAACCTGACTGTTCCAGCTGTCATCAACTCCTTGGAAGCAACCTTCGGGGCAAAGCTAGACCGACGGAAGCTCAATCTTGAACTCATCGCGCAGCAAATTTGCAATAATACGGCACAGCCATTCCAAGACATTGATACCAGCTCAAACGAGTGGATAGATCAGCTTTGTGGGTCGAATCTACGATGGGAGTCGATAGGGCTGCTCTGGAGTGTTTTGAGACGTATACCGGGGTCCTTTGAACCGATTGAGAAGAACAGGTTTCATATCCTGGAGAGCGGGACGGCCAACAAGCCGGTTTTGGCATTCTTGAGACATAGCATCAACCTCGCTCGGCACTTCACGTTGGCCAATGTCATCATATTGGATCTTCTGTTCCAGAAAGCCATCATGGAGTCGATGATTGTAGGTGATGCCAGTAAGTTTCGTTCTTCTTGTATACATCCAGATACTGATAGAATTTGGCAGGTCTTATTTGCTGGAGTTCCTTTGCAGATGCTGTTTCTGTGATGACTTATCTTGGAGTCCACGCCGAGAAGCTCACTGGACCTTACAAAGCGTCGCTGAGTTCAGAACATAAGCGGCGTCTTTTTGGCCGAGTTTATAATCTTGATAAAGCCATCGTCGCTTTCACTGGAAGGCCGCCGCTGCTTAATCCGCGATTTTGCTCAACACCGCCACCACTGGATTTGAGTGATGAGGATCTTCTCGCTGGAGGTGCTGTGCTTGAGAGGGCGGTGTCTGAGCTTGATGGTCGTGGTTGGAACTTGAGAGGCGGTGTTTATCCATCTAGTATCTGTCGAGCTGGTTACTTGATGGCTCAGATACTGAACGAAATCATTGATATCAGTCTTGGTTCCGGTTCCAATGCGACTGTTGAGACTATCAGGTACCCATCTCCCTCCCGTCCGCAATAGAAATGCTGCTAACCCCGCCAGATATCTGAAGCAGCGTCAGTTGAATGTCATCGCCGAACTTCCCAGGTGCCTTGTCTATGATCCTGACGACCCTACCGACCTTCCTCTTCCCAGAGCAGAAATACAGTCGTATGACAAAGACCTTTCTGACCCTCCCGTCGAGACAAATGTTGTGTCCATGAAAATATTCATCCGACTCACACATCTACAGAACATGTTCTTACTCGAGAGGCTGCTTCTTCAATATGGATGTCCGGACGAAGGGGATGTTCTTTTAGTTTCGTATGAGATGATAACGCTTACTCTAATGTTCTGGATGCACAAGGATCGGTTCCGTGATATTCGGCGTGATATGGAGTGGCTGGTAAGTTCTTGAGTCTAGTTATCTTCGAAACTGTCTGACACTTGTATAGCTTATGGCCTTTGCAGTGCCAGGCGGTGGCATCCTCTGCCTTGAACTACTCAGTCCAACATTCCAGGGCAAACATCCCAAGGACAGCCGCCTAAGTCGATCAAGTATTGTTCAGCAACTTAGTTTGCTTGTTGGGTTCTTGGACTGGGTTCACCCATCAGCACCAAACGGAGACCTTTGTGCGAGCTGTAAGACTGTGATACAGCGTGCGTTGGATTATCATCTCAATAATATGGATCCGATGAGTGATGTTGGATCATTGGACCAGTTCAGTTCTGGTTTGGCGGGGAGGCTCAACTTTCGATTCGAGTTGTTAAACACGTTTGATTGGCTCAATGCAGGATAAAGTCTTGTTAACACTGCCTGCGCGTGCGATCTGCAAGGTCTTAGGCGGGAACATGCATCTTCTGGCAGTGGCATGACATTGTCTCTGATTCACTTGCCTACTGTGGCCGCTCTCTGGGGGCAGCAAAAACTACAAACATCGAGTTACTTCACTTCTCCACCTTCTTATCTCTGCCGTTGCTCTAATCTTGATTTCTTTTCTTACCTCACAACACAGACCACGCTTCATTCACAGGAAGCCTTCATCACAGCACAAGCTTCAAGGCGTCAGCCTTGTTTGCGGCTATCACTATTCTCCCTTCGCAAGCGACTACACGAACAATCTTTCCTTGATTTGATCCGCCTGTTTGCTCTGGAAGCCAAGTGGTGCCTTGCAGAACACCGAGACCATGGCGGGAACATGTACAACCCCCGAACTCGCGACCATGCCGACAGAGATTGTGTGCATGATTGGCGCCAACTTGTCTGTTCATGACATCAAAGAATGGATCCTGGCATCGAAGCGATTTCGCGATATCTTCCTCTCACAAATCTGCAAGCATATCAAGTTCTCTGGGAACATGGAGCAACTGGATAACAACATTCTCTCCTACTTCCAAACCGCGACCGCCTCGTTCAGAGACCTTGTCCACCACAATATACGGTAAATGCCATCCACTGTTCTTTGTCTTGGTTTCAGTCGCTCACTTAATTTACAGATGTGTGACCTTTGATGTTCAGCCTCTTGACACGCCCCGGACCTTGAGAGCATGGGTTCGACACCCTCCGGCCAGTCTTCAGCAGATTGGACGATTCATAATCAGCAACCCTAATCTCCATCGAGTCGCTTTCAATACTCACTTGAAAAAGTTTAAGGAAATTCGTCTATTCAGGGACCTTGTTGAAGCCGGGCCACCTTGGCCAAACGTCAAAAGCCTCTCTTTCCAACTCCCTCGCGACAATGCACTGGTCATTAGTGCTCTCGTCCGTAAACTTGAAGAGGGGGCGCTTCAAACACTCTCCACATGTGCTGAGGTATTTCTTGTTACACCAATCAGGGAATATTCCTATGTCGCCAACGTCACTTCATTAAGTCTATGTAGGCAGGACCGCCAGGACTGGTGGTGGCTAAGTCGCAACATCGACCCCGTCATCGCAGGGCTGGACGAGGGTCTCCTGAAGATGATACACATATCATTTCCTAAGCTCGAATCACTCGTTCTTTACGATGGATTTCGAGATGATAGCGTTGGCAGCGGACCATTGGCCAATGGTGCTATGGTGGTAAGTGTTGATAAACAACCGAAAGATTCTCAAATCCTGTCTTCAATTACTGACATTGTTCTTTTCAAGGTCCGCATCATTTCGAAAGCGGTTTCAACACTTAAAAAGATGCAGTCGCTACGTCGTTTTTCTTTCGAATTCGACAAGTCTCGTCTGAACCCTGATGCTGTTTCCGAAATACTGGAACAAACACCGAATTCTTTCAACGACGTGATCGATGATGACTGGGAGGACGAAGCAGTGGCCGACTTTCTCTTGCTTTCCCTCCTGGTGCACCATCTGCCCACTATCGAGGAGATCTGTATTACATCCGATTACCCCGGCTTCTACCGAGCAACCCTCACGGAGGGCGAATGGGATTGTGATTTCGATTCTTTCGATGATCCATCTCAAAAGGACTTGTTCCCGAGTGTTCTGATGAGATAAATCGAGGTGTTATGCAATCTGAATGGGGCCTTGAAGGTTGAGCTCAAGAGTTGAGTTTCTATGCCAGATATGCAGGCAGTGGATATTCAATATCGCAAAACAACATGTTGTTTAGTTGCAGTCGATGCTCTGCTAATTGAGCAGACATCTTTATAGAATGGAAATGCCGGTTTAGCGGCAAGTGGGAAATCTTTTTTATGTTTTCCTTCGACGTGACAATTATCACCAATTTCACTAATCTCAAATGGCACCACTTCCCACTGAGACATGTTGACTTGACACTTGGAACAAGACGGCATGTTGTATCCTTGTGCATCATACTATCTTGGAGACATCTGATGAGAAGATTTCGCAATGAGAAGAGATGCTATTTTCTCATTACCTTTGTTCACATACTCTGGCAGTACCTTACTTCCAGAGAGTACTTCCGTAGCTCATAATTCAGGTATGATCATGCATACTATTAGACTGAAACCACCCGGAACTGACATTGGCGTTTGAAGCCAGAAGTATGGACGTTCTCGCCAATTCACTGCGCCCTACCAAAGGCCGTGAGCGAGAAAACTTCGGATAGAAAGCCAAGGTTTTACCAGAAGTGACAGTTCTAAAGGTTTACTAATATCTATCGAACGTGCCCAAGTCTCTTAATTAATTATGACGAGTGACCCAAATTTTGCCACTTTATTATGCCGATTTCTTCGTCCAAACTGAGACTTCACCATCCTCGACCCTTCACCTCGTTGACGTGAAAACAATTTCGCCCTTTGTCTCACGAAGTGAAGTTCCGAGGTCTTTTTACTGTGTTGCCTGCCTAAATCTACATTTGGTCAATACCTCAGTTGCTTCTAGGTTCTAGGTTTTCTCTGCCGGAATAAGCTCCCAGCCACAAATCTCAACTGCAAATAATACTTCTAGCCCATGACTTAAACATCTTCCTCAAACAACCTTGCCCAAGTTAACACACAACATCGCGAAGGAAAGCAAGAAGGTCGTATCAACATGTCGGAACGCGCAACCGCGGCGCTTCCAGCGTTGCCCACTGAGCTTCTGTTTATCATCGGGTCTTATTTACGCGACGACGAGCTTGTAGGCATCAGTGTGGCGTCAACTCGATTCCGGCAGATCTTCCTCCATCGACGATACGTGATGATCGAATTCTCGGGCTCCGTGAAACACATCGCTGGATGTTTGATACCTCTCTACTCAGAGGATGCCGACAACATCTCGGTAGATATGAAGAAACTGATCCGGACCTTCACCAGGTAGTACATCTTGACTCTCCACTGCCGCTAACTAGACCAGACCCGAGTACTGACTAGATTTAGATTTGTCACCATCAGAATCCATTATCCTCCGCATACAAATAATTTGCCTTTGCGATTTGCAAGAAATGACCTCGCCCATTTCGGAATTTTGCTTCGCTCAATAGATCGACTGTGCGGAGTGAACATTTCTCTAAGCTTCCCACGCCCTCGGGACTGCATTTCATTCAACAAGGCTTTACGTAATGCTGCTTATTGGTCCTACGGTACTACCAAGCCCTTGTCTCTTACCTTCTTGGATGATCCTGCGGATACGAATTTCAATGCCATATTCAGACGTTTTCTGCCCGCAGATCTCGGAGCCGTTCAGCTGCCTGGAGGGCTCAACAGGAAGCATTACACGAAGTTAAAAAGCTCTGTTAATGCCTATACTCTCAAGGCCTTGCACGTCGACAGAACAGTCAACAATCAGCAGACCCGACACGTAGTCCCAAGCCTAGACCATGACTTCCTTAGGGAAGTCAGAAAGGACTTTCCCCAGCTTGAATCACTCATCCTTCACGAAGATACACCCGGCCTTACTATCTACAGTGACTTAAGATGCTGGCCGTTCGGATTGGTCTGGTTTAACGATAAATCTGCCTTGGTAAGGGAAATCCTCACATACTAAGTCCTTCTGCAGCTAACCTACTCTGTCAGGACCGAAATATCAGAAGAATGGTTCGCCAACTTCAGCGGATGCCTTGTCTCCGCCGCTTTGCTTTCACGCTATGGTTTGCGAGACTTCACGGTCACCTCATCCCACATGAGTGGGAGGATTATGAAGGAACATATCGTCACAAGACCATGGTCGAAATGAACAAATTCTATATCGATAAGATTGTGACGGTGATCATGACTCGAGTTCCCAATCTTGTGGAGCTCTGTGTCTCGTCTAACCACCCAACCTTCTACAGAGGAACTAGACGCGATGGTCAAATCCATGTTGAGCGAGAATCCCGCCACAACCTCGGGGAGGAGAAACGCTTCCCCACCCTCTTACTGGACCTCAAATAAGGGAGATCTGTGTTGCTGAGCAGTATGTAAGCTTAGTGTAAAGGCTGATGAGTTTCGGTGTGATTTTTGAATATTCCCCAAGTTTCAGCTCTAATGATTTTTATTTAGGAAAGCAGATTTGCCCGTAAATCTGTGTGAGTGTTGCTTTAAACTCTTTCAGCACTCGGGGGTTCGCATGCTTGGTATGTACTTGGCAATGTAAGAATAGGATCTGTTGTGTCCGGCATGGAATGTAATATGGACCTCGGAGTGGGCTTCGAGGATATCCGACCGAGGTGGTTGAGATGGAACGCAAGAAGAATTGGCGTGTGAATTGAGGGTCTTTACCTGAAAATCAGGTACTACAGTTCGAGATGATATGGTAATGCTTGGTTTTGTATGTAACAACGTATTGGTCAAGATTTGATGCTTTCGCAACAACCCACCTGGATGATGCCTACGTACCTAGGAGGTTTCGTTCAGGCCTCTTCGGTACTGGGAGTTTATCGTAACTTAAGAACAGAGATAAGGGCAAGAGCCAGCTGACCAGGCAAATTCCCGTGACGCCAATGATTCCATTGTTAGTCATCAGAGAAGCTTCGAGGTTGAACCTTGTATTGCAAACGGGATACCATCTCCCAATGCACCCGTGATAGCAGTCACAGTTTAACTTTGAGGTCGGCAGATACTTGAGATGAAAAAAAAGAACAATGTTTTTTCCTTGTGAGATCGTTGAGCGAAACATGATCTGTCCTGTCGGGTGGTTATGGAAAGGTAATGATCGTAAGCATGCGTGCGTATTGAACACTTCGATCTTGCTCCAACAAGTCAAATGAATCTCAAATGTAGAACAACCCTACCTCTTTTTAAGTTCTAGACCTTATCCGCCACATCTTCAATTCGGTCAAATTAGGATCAAAGTCTGGCTGGCATTGGCGCTGCAAGCCCACTTTCTTCTATGTCTACTGTTCGCTTAAACATCAGAACTCTCTCGTCAAACCTTCAGGTAACTTAATTTCTCTGGTCTTCTCGGAAAAGAAATAATGCGTAGCGTATCAAGTCCTGCATCCTTCAATCTTCTCTTTCATTTTGTCTAACAGCGACAAATCGTCAACCTTGCAGTCATGGAGACTCAACCAGGAGAAGAGCGCGCTGTCGCCACGATGAACAATCTTCGCAAACCCACGCCTTCAAATTTGCTGGAGAAGATGCCACGGGAAGTCATCTTCATGATTGCATCACAGCTCCCCTTCCGTGGTGTCATGGTCGCTACCTTGGTATCCAAGCAACTTCGATCAGCCCTCATGCCTCTGATCTTCAACAAGATTACATTCTCTGGCGACTTCAAAGCATTATCTCGCGAGATGAGGTCTATTCTAAACGGCGAACTTGGAAACTTCATCAAACTAATTCTCCCCCATGCGAAGTACTCGTCTGCAGTATCCGAAAACTGAGAAATGCTGACTGATCTTGTCCTCCAGGGTTGTTACTATCCGCATCGAGCCTTGCAGCTTTCACGACATTGTTTCCGACTCTCATCTCTGGGAAAGCAGAATCGCGGTTATCAGCGAATTCATTTCCAAACTGTCATGTGTCGACACCATAGACTTTGCTTTTCGTAATTACTCTGTCAACTTCTATCGGGTAGCCCCCCCTTCTTTTGATGATCCTCACCTATCGAGTGTACTAGAATCTTTATCCAACACGCCCAAGTGGGATGGGCCAAAGACCGTCATCTTTTCTGGTCAAAGGAACCGCCCGAGCTTCACTACAATAATGCGTCAATTCACTCCCGACAGCGTCAAGGCAGTTCACCTTCCTCGTACAACCGCATGGGGTCATCGCGCAGCCTTGCAAGCAACAATGCCCTCGCTAAAGGGCCTGAAGTACGATATTACCAGGCTTCCTATCGAATCAACGACTCTTGCCTGTATCGACCAGACCACTCTTCGAATGATACACCAAAGCCTTCCACACCTTCATTCACTAGTTATTTGCCAAATGGACAGAGATACTTTCATGTTGCAATACGGTCCTATTACGAAAAAACCGAGGCTGCCTAATCTTGTGAGAATCCTATCTTTCCTTCTTCTTTCTTGTATTGCCTTGCTCTACTAATATGAGTATGATAGAGTGACCAGGTTGCACAACTCATTGGGCGCCTCAAGGAAATGCAGCAATTGCGACGTTTCGCATTCGCGTTGGACATGAAGTGGACGCCTCAGGAGTACAGCCCGGAAGCTTTTCTCGAGGTCTTTGAAAGACTGCGCCAGGCCGATTCGGTCATTTTGGCTTCCGAGGACATTGATTGGACCCCTTTTGATACATCTAAAACCCAGGATCATGAGTGGCATTCAAATCTCGTTACTCATATCCTCGACGCCGTTCCGCAGCTCAAGGAGCTTTGTGTCCTCCCACCTGGCTCAAGATTCTATCGAGGCACTAAGACTGAGGGCGTCGTATCATTTCGTCAAGTCAACTCAGGTGATCCGGGAGAGGAATCTCGATTTCCTAACCGTTTGCTGGATTAAGAGAGCTGAAGCTTATACGTATCTTTGGAAAGGTTAGAGACACTTCTCAGAGGATTCAGTAAGGATATATAATCTTGCATAGCCTCAAAGGCCTTCTAGAGAAGACAAGTGATAGATCTCGACTAGAAGAAATTTGTGCTTTCCGCCTTTTAGGCTAAGCATTGCCGCTTCAGATGAGGTTTGTGAGCATGAAATCAACGAAATCAAGGCGTATCTTTGTTTCGCAACTGTGCTACAAATTTTCCAGTCTCGCAGCCAAGCTCGCCAGATTTGGCGGCTCGTTGAGCTCCTCGTGGTCACCTCAAGCTCTGCTCATTCAGCGATGTCAATTTCCCAAAGCTCCAAATACAAAATGCCGCCCCAAAACTATATCATAAAAGGAGTGAATAGTTTCCCAATAGTCCACCGAGGCTTATAAAGTGACCGTGTTTCGTAACTCTTAATCATGTTTCTCACCAGTTTCCTCAGTCCCGCCCTTACTTTCCTGCTTCTCAACTTCCTGTTTCTCCTCCGGCTCTTCTCCCGGCTCCTCATCCCGGGTTGTCTCTGTAGCCTCATCTTGAAAATCCATAACCCGCCCATTGAGAAGCTTCTCCTGCTCCTCAAGAGAGCGTATGACAGGCTTAGCATTCAACTCTGCAGTCAGACGGTTGTTGATCTCCTCGCCCAACTTCTTGCGAGCCTCTCTCTGCTCATCCGTCAACGGAACACCCCGCTGCTGGCCGCCACATGGGCACTGTGCAAGCCAATCTGGTGCGATAAACTTCTGACTTCTCGTGCCAGATTCGATCACGGCCTCTAGAACGGCAAAGGTGAGATCAAGGATATTGTCCCTTCCGAACGACTCGGGATCTGTGAGCAGCTGAAGTCCTATTCCGAACACGACTGAAAGGATGGGTCCGGCGACCGGGATGAAGCCCAGGCCTAGTTGAGTGATTCGTATGAGCATGTCCCTGAGGAAAGGGTTGTGCTGGTATGGTCTCCAACCGACCTCGACGCCAAAGGTGGCGCTGAGGATTCTGGCGAAATCCATCTCGCGGAAGAAATCTCGATGGTTCGTGGTCGCGAAAGAAGATCTCCAAACTAACGACGAGTTGGCGAAAACAACCAGCTCTTGGCCACGCAGTTTGGATTCAAACAACCCATAGTCTGGATTGCGCAGCTTGTGTGGGATGCAAAGATAGGCAATGATGTCCTTTATGTTGAAACCCCATGTGACACCATCATTCCAGCCAAGACCGTTATGGGAGTTGAGATTAAAAATCCTGGTCCAACCGTTGATATCGACCATCTGAAGTTGCGTCCTGTGTCTGAAGTCGATAACGACATAGGTACACAGGTTAGTGAATGCTTGGTCTGTGTTGAATGCGACAGGGAAGTAGATAGCTCTCAGAGGGATTGTAGCATCGATCCATAGCCACTGGGTATCGGGCTCCAAGATTTCCACTGGACGAAGGATGTACTTTCTTTGGCCGCCTCTCTGGTGGTCTCTGCATTCATTCCAATTGAGGCTGTTGGGATGACTGTGAATTCTGAGCATGTTCGACGGTGACTTGGTTCTGCTCTCGCCCATCCAGAACCTGTCCCAGTCCCCGAACCGTGTGCCTCCAATTCCGGAGGGTGTACCATGCTGCCAGCGTGACCGGGGATGAGATCTCTGGGTCACGCCAGTCGCTGGCCATCCGTTCCAGTAGTACTCAAGAAGAACGGTTCTGTAGAACTGAGTTTGGTTGTTTGCACTCCAGTGGGAACTATATCTTAAAGAGTTTCTGACGAAGTAGCATTCGCCTTCTGGGTAGTATGAGGCCATTGCGAAGAGGAAAAACAGAGGTTGTAGTTGGGGCTGTGGCCTAGTGCTTAAACGTGCTGCTCAGAGCTTGGAAGAAAGAATATTCTCTTGGAAAGTTCTGAATTGATACTGGAGAAAGTTGGGGAAAGCCGTCTTGATATAACAGCTTTCTGCCACCACAACGCCTTCAGAAACAACAAACATACCAGTTTCAATTCCCAAGCCCAGTGCGACCTCTCCATGATAATCACATCATTCAGTCTGCAGTCCAAAGAGTCTGTGGCAGTTGACAACCCCGCACATGAAGCCATTTAACATAAGCCGGGGTAGCACGACTTCTTGACCGTTATGCTGCAGTACGAAGTCGTCCAAAAATGAGAAATACCATTGCAGTTTTGGCTTCATTGCATAGAATGAAGGGATCACGATTTTGAACGGCCCGAACATTGGTTTCACCCTGATGTTGTCAAACCCATGGGATGAAGCCAATTCGTAAAGGATCGTGGGGGTGGAGAGTGAGTACTGCGTGTTGTACTTCTCTGGGCATCTTCGGCAGTTGTGATGTGAGCTAGAGCCGAATATCTAATTATTTCAGCAAGTTTACGGCAGCATGATGTATAGTACGAAAGTACTTGTAGTTTTCTGGTTGCCTGCGACGGGATTCAATCATTACTGCTTTGAGATATGATATGACGCCATGTTCAAGAAGAGAGGAGAAAGACAAATCGTCACAGTCTGAAGATGATTGCCGTCAATGCTGTAGTCAGCGTAGGTTGAGGCTATAGGAGAAACTACAAGCCGTACGAATAAGGTCTGGCCAGGCCCAGAGTAGTATTGCGGAATAAGCTGTTTGTAGTAGGCTGGATTAGGAAGTCCCCGACGGCCCGGACTTTACGGACACTATTGATGTAATATTCTCCGTCACTAGATATTGACTCTCGGAAAACAATATCCTGCATGTTTCTATTGCGATTGGTCAATGCAAAGTGATCCCTGAGGATCGTGTATCCTCGTGGCTGAACTCAGCCTCATAATCGTAAGCCGGAAAAGACGATTTTCAATATTGGACGAGGGATAGCCTCACTGGGATTAGTCTGATGCTAAGATGGCCTTTTCTGAAGAGACTTGTTGGGTTTTAGAATCAAGTTCATACACTATCCATCCTTTTCATGCTACCCACCTCATCTAGACGTAGTATTGTAAAAACAGACCTCGCTTTATTTGACATCTTCTCACAACCCCGCTCCCACTCATCTCACCCTCATTCTCAACCCTCACCGCATCGGCAGATGCAATCCTTCCAGAATCCTTCTTATTCCCGCGTGCCTGAGCAAAGCTGACTGCAGAATCAGATGCCAACAGATGACCTCAAAAGTTCTCGGCATTTATGCTGAGGCTTAGCCTCTGGAGGCTGAGTAAGAAAGCTATCCCGCAGAAAGTTAGCAAAGAACTTGCGAGGATTTCTTTTTATCCGTCTACCAATCACACGGCGAGCGACCCGAGAGGCTCCTCAGTTGACAAGATAGGGCTGTGGTCAATGGTACCGTGCTGGTTGGTTGGGCTGAAACGGTTATATGGCGGGAATAGTTGCGCTACCTCAAGAGATGAAACGGCTGAGGTTACTAGTCTTCTCGGGTTACTATCTAGCTAATAAATTGAAAATATTCCAAGTAAAACATATTAAAATGTTCCTCAGAGGTAACAAAATATTTACAACTCAGTTTCAGTGAAAATTTGCCGCAGACCGGAATTCCGCTTCTGTGTGACCTCCTGCCACTTGCAGCATAAATTTATGCGTTGTCAGCGTCCCGCTCAAGACTAACCATGGGTGTCCCCTGTACTTCCAACCCGTTTCTCACTGATGATCTCTGAATGGCTCTCTCGGACATGCCAATTTTAGCATTGTCGTTGCTATAGCCTCGGATTGAAATTCACGAGCTCAATGTGATTCTGCCTCATTGAGGATCTTGTGGTAGGTAACGTAGCAAGAGGCTGGTGAAGAAATCATCATGGGGGCGGAGAAATGAAAATGGTATAAAGAGATGATTTCCTGTCGATATGGTGTCTTTCGTTCATCAGATCACGACTCACAATTTCAACCCACTCTTCAACTTGCTTCATACTCAACTCGCCAAGATGGTCAACTTTATCACCTCTTTCGCTATCATCCTCACCGCTGCTTCTTCATCCCTTGCTGCTCCTCAACCTCTTGAAGCTCGTGATGATACCAGCTGCATGGACAACCTCCCAGGAAACACCTTGGCCAACGTACAGCTCACTCTTTCAACCCCAGCCTGTATCAAGTTACTAACCTATTCAAGGTCAACGAAGCAGTTGAATGTATCAACTACCTCGCCAGCCTCGGTGACCAAGCTTGTGTAGCTGGTGTCTCCGGCCAGTCCTTCTGCAGACGTGGAAACACTCAGATCACTGGTCTCGCCGTTGGACTTAACAGCGACCAAACTTCTTCTTCACCTTGGTGAGCTCATCTTCAAATCCCCTGTCTCTTTAGTCATTGCTGATTCCATTCTTAGCCGTGATGTTGCTCGAGGTGCTGGTCTTGTCATGGAGTAAGTCTTCTTCCAATTACATCAACCGTTGCTTTACTAACGATTCTCAGCCGTTGCACACGAGCTGATGGAAAGGTTCGGGGACAGAACCCTGCTTGGGGCAATGGACACCTCATGGTCGACATCCGCAATGTTCCTCAGTAAGGTTGCGGCCAGCGTGTCTCGACTTCAATGGTACGCAGTGAAGTAGCTTCTCGTATATACTAGAACACAATATCATATGATTATCTCTCTTCGAGCAATACCTTCCATGTCTTGATGCTTATTTATTTAGGCATGTCATTTGAGTCCAAAGATAATCCAATGTCTTTATGCCACAGAATACTTCGCTGTCATTTATGTTTGCTGTTGATATTCAATGTTTGAAGCTACATGATTGGGTCATCACCTCACACAATGACCAACCCAAACTACTAAGACTGTCCTGGACAAACATCGCAGCCTTACGACATTCTACCTAAAACCATTCACTTTTTTCTTACATAGTAAATACTAGATATTTTTATAGCTCATCTCATAGGACGAGCGATCAATTGCCGGTTTCAAGTTAAATTTGCTTACACCGACCCCACAATCTCCGTAGTCCATGTCCGTGTCCGTGTCCGTCCACCGCGTCCGTCTCATCTTATGTCCAACCTCCACCTCCGACCGACTTTTTTCTCTCCCCATTTTCCCACAAACTACCATTAGACTGACAGAAATCATGACTACACCGGCGGTGTACTCCTCCCTCGACAAAGAAGACCGAGTCGACGACAAAAACTCCGGTCTCGCAACAGACTTTCCCATCTCCCAAGACACAAGCTTTGAAAGATTATACAAGTTGGATAGTTGGCTGAAATGGTATGTCATAACTCTTGGCATTTACCTAGTCGGCGCCATATTCTGCGTAGCCTGGTCCTACACCGGCGCACTCCTCGATAACGATGCTTCAAAACGTCGAGTCTTTCGCACAGGCGACTCCGTACCCGTTGATCAGCTCTACTCCGGTATAGCGCTCTCAGCACTCCTCGCCCCAGCAGCTCTGCTCGTGCAATTCGTCGTCTTTGATTTTCGGAGATTGCATTTATTTGCACTTACAACGCAGCAGCCTGTTGCGATTAGGGATCTGGACGATATCGCAGAGGGCGTTACGCTATTGACGCTACCGGCTGTTATGAAGTATTCGTGGTGGTATGGAGTCATGCATACCTTTTTGATCATCACGAGAACGTTGCTTGTACCCGTGGGAACGCTATCGCTTACTGTTGGGCCGTATGGGCATTTTAAGGAGGGTTGGGGTGTCGTGGGTGTTCCGATTGCGAGGGATGTAGCGGGGAGTAACATCACTGCTCTTTCAACTGCGATGGGTGCGAGTCCGGACATGGAATTTCACCCGTCACTCTCCAAGAATGATACGTTTCTGTCTCAGACGGTGTTTACGTTTGTGGGCAGTCTTGTATCGCAGAATGCGTTGGCGAATGTTGACTCTGGTGTCTTGGGGCCTGTGCCTACACACAATCTCACGTTTGCTACAAACACGACTTACGACGGGCTTGTCTTCTTCAACTGGACCGCTGCATGCGAGGCAGCTACTGAAGTGAACTACACTTCTTACAAAGATGGCGGCAATACGATTTACAATTTCACCCTCCCCGATAACAGCGTCGAGAGCATCGAGCTACTTGAGCAAGGCTCACAGAGAATTCGACTCTGGAGTAACGCTTCGGTTCACGGTACAAACAAGATCCCAACCTCAGGCACGACGTATTTCCTCTCAGCTACGAAATCCATCCCGAATGTCAACGAGACTGCTCTGCGAAACAGAGGCAACGACAAGAGTTTGGTGCAAACAGACGGAGGGGACTGGGTCTCTCGCACGAAATGCACGCCCTCCATCAAATGGCTCGTCGGGTCGTGTACCTTCAACGGCACGATAATGACATCCTGCACCGAAGCCCCAGGGTCTAACCAAACAGCGCTTGACACGGAGGCGCTTGATGCGCTGGGCGTGTACATGTCTGCTATTCCGTGGTACATCTTCCGCAACCAGATCGGCATTGTTGACGATACCCTCGATGCCCTTTACGCGATCCCCACGGCGGAAGATTTTGGTCACTTCTTTGGCAACATGGCTCACGCAATCGTATCGATCAGCACAGCGGGATACTTTGGTACATCCTCTGTTCCTACGCTCTCACACATCACGGAAAATGTGTACATCGTGCGCTGCAGTGTTCTCATCGCCGTGACAGTCATGCTGCTCTTGTCCGTTTCCGTCTCGGTCATCGATATCATTCGAAACAGAATTAAGCATCTTCCTCAACTACCGGCGTCGTTCTTGGCCATCGCACATGCCGTGAGGGGACCGTGGTGGGATAACGAGTTGAGCGGTTACAGGCCGTGGGACAAGATGAAGACAAGGAGCGATGGAGCTGAGGCGGTCATGTTTGGTGTTGACACGGAAGACTCGAGATTCATCAGACTTGCACCGTCCGTTGCACCAATCCGCCGTTGATTCAGTATATATAGCCCTTTTCTGTAGCTACTGAGCAATCTATTTCCATTCTTCAATCCTGTCATGAAATCATCCTGATAACTCTCCGCGATTCAATCACTGCCCTGAAACCAAGCCCTCCCTTGACAGTTCCAAAAACATGAGCAATCCTTCCATCACTCCTTAGCAAACTCTCCCGTAGCAAACCAGTCATCAATCCCTTCAAACCACTTGTCAACAGACGCATTTCTGATGGCATCGCGCCAGGGGGGAGGTCCCTCGTACGGCAGTTTCGCAAGCCTGTATTCGAGAGGGCGGGTGAAGTCCTCGTCGAGCCAAACACCGCGCTTGATGGGCGTCTTCGTCACGTCGATAATCCGCTTCATGTTGTCGCCAAGCTCATTGGGGTCGGACTTGAATTTGTTGTGGATGATGATGTCGAACTTGAGATCGCCCATGTACTCGCCGTCGCCTGCGAAGTTGGAGTCCTCAAAGTCCATGCCGTGGCAAGACCAGCTGAGGAACTTGGCTATGTTGAGGCGGATCATCCACTGGAGGCTATGCCTTGTTAGCAGCGCTCAACATATGATGGGAGACGACAGAGGAACTTACAGAGCGTCGCGGTAACCGTACAACTTGCCGCCAGTCTCCTAGAACTTGAAGCGCAGCAAATTGGTACGCTCCCCCTCCGGCAGCCCAGCACGAGTCCCCTGAAGAACATTGATGAAATCGATCAGAATGAATTGGTCCTTCGGGTTCTCCTTCGAGTTCTCGACGTAAAATTCGAAGATCAGAAGAGGATCCATGAACGGCTCACTCTTGATGCACAATCGCACAGTGAGTTCGGCCTTGCTATCGGCGGTGGGCGCCATCCACATAGCGAAGCCATGAATGGCACAGCGATTTCCGTCCTCGTCAGCAAAATGCACGTTCTCGTTCAGCTCGAAGAAGAAGTGCTGGCGGCACTCAGTCTCACCGGGCAGCTGGTAGTACTGCAGAGACATGCCCACGAGGCCGGTGCGGGAGACGACGGCGAGATGAGGGTCCGTCTGGCCGAGGATGTCGGACAGGGTGAAGGTATCACGCGCAGGAGGAGGTACTTTCTCCCAGTTGCGCTCTTCGTTCAAGAGGGCGGTCTTCATGTAGGTGTCGTGATTCTTGGTAGGGTCGACGCCAGTGGAAGGGTGCATGGTGGCATTGGCCCGCTTGGACGCATACTCGGCAGCCTGCATCTTAGCAGTCTTGTAGGCAAACAGAGACTAATCTGTTGAAACTCTATTCGTATACTCAGAGGGTGATAGGGATCGCGTCCAAACACGGTTGTTGGTGGTCGTGTGTGGGTCGAGTTTGCATGCAGGTCGTGGGGGAGGGAGACGAAGGGGTTACGCAATATTTTGCACTAGACTTGCATGCCTACCGATAAACGAAACGTTCATGTGGGATCTTCAGGGCCCGATATGGCAGACTACCCCCTGTCAGTGCAAGCAGACTCGCTGTTCCCTCTACCTTACTCAGCTTTTATGACACAACTGTCAAACATCCTAGGTCTCCTCCACTCACGGATCTTTCGTTTACTCTCGTCATATCTACGGCGTCGATCTGTTTCATTTGCTCATAGTCGCTTCCCTTTCTTTCATATCACAAACACCTTGCCCAAACCACAAGCTAAGTGCTCCCTCGCAAACACAATCGTCAAGATGAAAGAGACAAAAGCCATCATCCAAACATGGTATATTACGCATCTCCTTCCTTCACCTCAAACTCTTCTGACTTCTTTGTCCTTTAAAAAAGACGAATCTGACCAAAAGTCGGAATCCGACTCTGAGTAGGAGTCTTGCGCTCTCAGAGCACCGATCCGCGTCAAGAAACTTTGCATCTGATCCGATTTCGCTTCTCCTTCCGATCCAGTATCTGAGTCTGTACCCGAGCTCGAGTCCGTTTCTTCGACATTCATTCGCACAACCTTCCCTTGCCAACTCCTCTTCATCTTCCACAATCTCTTCGCATAATCCAACGTCGATTCTTCACGCCATCGGGCTCTTCTGCCGTAAAGCAACACTTTGGCTTCTATATATCCACCCCACGGAACTACTTCCTGAACAAAGTCCGCATCATCCTCAGCTGAAAGGCGCTTCTGTTCCATGAATCGACCACAAAGAAGCCATTCGCTGACAGCTGCTGTCCCAGCAACTAAAAAACAGCTTCTGAAGCCATCCTTGCTCATGTACGTTAACGATGCTCCATTGCGGGCGAGAAGCTTGACAGCATCCAGGCTCCCGCAAACACTCGCATTCATAAGCGCTGATCCAAAACAGGAACCTTCGAAGTTGATATCAGCACCCATATCAAGGCAATTCGCGACAATATCAACACGGTTCAAAGCAGCCGCATGGCATAAAGGGCTCCAGCCGCGCGATGGTTCAAGATTCAGGACTTCGCAGAACAGGTCAGCCGACATTCGTTGTCGAAGCCGCTCGAATGAGGATGTTAGGAGGGCAAGACCAGAAAATTCACACCACTCCAGATGCCACGGAAAAGGAGTCGTTCCGCTCAGATCTTGTTCACGCTCCATTATCCAGTCAACTAGATCTTCTTCGCCCAAGATGTAATGCATCAAACTCCGACCTGCCCCATCCTCCCTCGTCAGATCAGGCTTGAGCTCATGCAAACTGTTCAAAGTTTCAGGGGTAAGTTGCAATGTGCCGCATCTTGTCGAAAATCGTGGCGGGTCTGATACAGCGAAGAACTCCTTTGGTAACCGTGATAAACTGACAGGGTGTGCTTTATCGAACAGAGTATCACCGAACCAGTTGATCAATGACGGGAGTGATCCGAACCTGCACGCTGCAGCTTTCGATGCCCCAAGCGAGACCAAATGCTGTGCCATTCTAGCGTCTTGCGAAAATATGAGTGGTGTCCAGCCATTCGAGTCGGCTGCATCGATATCCGCTCCCCTATCTACCAGAAGTGAAACTGCCTTCTTGTTCCCATTCCACGCAGCGATGTGTAGCGCCGTCATCTTTGCGCGATATTTCCAAGTTTTCCAGTTAGTTTCACAAGTGAATTCCATCGGAAGCAAGCGGTTCAATACATCTTTGAAGGCTTCTGGAGGTCTGTGAGACGGTTAGTGACTTGCCCTACACCTACCTTACTTCTGCTTACCCAATGTAATGAAGGTGATTTTCTGCTTCTTCAAGCAATATCTCGACGCCTTTCGTGTTCTGCACATCTATTGCTTCATGGAATGGAAACTCACACCCGAATCTCAAATCGCCGCCTTGCCTGAGGTATTTCAAGAACAATTCCGGTAGCAAACGATTGAGGCTTCGCAGGCTAGCAGCTAATTCAATGGCGCTTTTCCCGAACTCGTCGTTACAATCCGCTTGTAGTGCACTGGCTCCTATCTCTAACAGCCATTTGCCCATAGCAAAGTTGCCATCGTCCAAAGCTACCAGAAGAGCGGATAATCCAGGTCTTGATGGGAGGAGAACATCAACAGAGCAGCCTTTATCAATCAACTGCATCATACTTTCATCGTCATCTTCGTCTATGGCTCTTTCGAACGCCAATGCCAGACGCTTTGTTGGTTCCACGTATTCCGCAAGTTCTTGGATAGATGAAATTTGTTTGTAGCCACCCCAGGGGTCCCCTTCCAAGACTTCGTAAATTTCATTGAGTCCAAGCTCCAAGGAGGTCTTACCCGGGCTCATACCATTTTTATCCAAGGTTTGGAATGCGCCATGCTCAATCAAACATTGGACGACGGGGAGATGTCCGCCGAAGACAGCCATGTGCAATGGGCTGAAGCCGAATTGGCTTTCTCCCATTGCGTTGAACCCTCTTGCCAGAAGAAGCTTCACAGCATCCACGAATCCTCCATAGGCAGCGATATGGACCGGAGAAAGCCCTTCATCTGATATCGGAGTCTTTTCCGGTTCCGAGACATAGTTCAGCATGTACTCTAGGCAAGCAACACTATTGCACGCCGCAGCCATGTGTAGGGCGGTCCCATTACTGATCACAGCCTGCTGACCAAAGTTTTGGACTCCAAAGGTCACCGGATCAGACCATGGAAACGAAGTCCCGAACTCATTTGTGTGACTGACAATTTTCTGCAGGAATGCCAAATTATCGGTGGCTATACATGTAAGTACCCCATTATAGAACGAAGGAACGCTCAGATATGGATCGGCCCCTAATTCTAGCAGTCGTTCTGCAAATTGTAAAGAGGACTGTTGGAGGTGATATACAAGCGGAGTCGCGGCATATGAGCCTGAGCCGACATAGTTTATGTCGAACCCATGTTGCACAAGTGCCTCCGCCAACCAAAGAATGTCCTTTGCGTCTTCTAATGTAGCAATTGTATGGAGAGGTGACGCCCTATCTATTTCGATGTGTTCCTTCATTGCCTCTTCAACACTGGAACGTTCTAATAGCTTCCTGAGAGCTGTAGCTCCGTCTTCGGTGCTGCAGAGATCAATCGCAACGCGAGCATGGAATGCAATTCCAAAAGGTGTTTTTCCATCGACACGGTGATGGAGGTCGGCTCCATTTTCATTGAGTAGCCGTATCATATCGAGGTTGGCATTCTTTATCACATCTTGAAACAGCACAGATATTTCGTCAGAGCTTTGTAGGCCATCCCAGTAATTGGTTTGCAGAATAGCATCGCGAATCGTTGGCATCAACGAGAATTGGTAGTTGGACAGTAGTAGCTTCAGTCCACTTTCTTTGAACTGTTTCTCATGGTTGCGCATCGCTCCGATTTCGAACACGATCTTTATCATGGTTTCGAATTCTTTTGATCTGGTGTATTGTTCTTTATTAAACCCCTCATTCTCAGGTAGGCCACACATAAAGCTCCACAAGCTCTGGGTTTCCCTAGATCCAGTGTCGTCCAGGTTGTCGGGGAGGAGGGCCTCGATGATACCGTTATCTGGGAACACGCGATCGTCGAGCGTATTGGTGATGTACCTCTCAAGCGGTAATCTACCATCAACTCTTGAAGTAAGCGCTTGGGGATAAAGCTTAGTCAGTAACTGCACCTGGTCAAAAGAGACCCAAGCTTTCAGTTTGTGTAATGGTGTTGGTTCAGTTCCTATCATACTGTCGAACTCGATAAAGGTTCCCTTCAGAGAATAAACGCTTTGTTCGGTCCCTAAGCTCGTGTCCATGCCCTTTGCTCTGCGGTATCTCTGCAAAAAGCCTAGAATTTGAAGGCATAGCTTATTCAAGTCAAGATCGCGGTGTTCACTCCTTGGGCTCTCTCCGGCACTTTCGAATATCACAATCAAAGGCGTATCACCATAATGTGACCTCGACTGAAGCCCCTTGATCGCCTCCTCTGCATCCAAATCGAAGATATCACTGACAAACTGATAGTCCAAGGGACGGTCCTGAGCCCAGTAATGCAAGATGTTGTAGCCCTCATTGTCCTGGCTCATAAGACATATTCCCAGATGCTTCAAGACCTTGCAAAGGCGTAGCCTGCCACGGGGCTCACACAGATGAATCGGTAGCTTTCCTTCCTCGTTCTTGGTATAAGGATCGAAACCTGCAGTAACCAAGGCTTCGAAGTTGTCAAAGGCGTTGTATTTGATTGCCAGGTGTAAGAGCCCATTAACCAATCCCGAGTATCGGACTTGATTCTTCAGTCGCCTGTCTTTAAAACAGTACTTGAGCAACTCGGTATTGTCGCTGCAAATAGCTGAGACCAGTTGGGAAACCAAAGCGTCATCCGACATCAGGTCACAAGAACCAACCAAACTCAAGTCTCTTGTCAGGGAGAAGTCGCATTCTTGAGCCCAACTCCAAACAATGATACCCAGCTCAGCACCCCAGTCTTTATTGTATGCTCCAGTTGAACTGAGGAATTTCAAAAGCATGCGAGTCGACACTTCTGCCACATAGTTTGATGTACTAGTAGCCACGAGCCATTCTTGAAGAACCTTGACGTCTGGTACAGACGGCAGGATTCGAGAAGACAAGCACCGAAGTACAGGGTACAAATCATTAAATAGCGATGCAAATACGCAGGTTATAGAGAAGACAGAGAGCGTGTTGGGGGGTATCAGATGATCTGAAGAATATGCTCCAGCGCTTATCAGGCAGTCAATCGTCGTATTTCTCCGCTGGGATGAGGGCAGGAACTGGTTTCTTCCATTGGTCAGAAGATCACGATGTAGCTCATTTTTCCCGCTCGTTTCTGGCAGTCCAGGAACTGCCAAAATAGACATGAAGGCAAGGTCGAGAGGGGTTGCTGCATCAAGTTTCTGGTTCACATCTGAAGCATTGTATATCAGAAATCCGCATATCTCTGGAAGATTCAAAGCAGCAGCCATATGCAGTGGCTGAAACGAAGGGTTGGTCACTATTCTTCTGGCCTGTTTTTCGCTCAGGGCTGACCGAGTGCCAGTAGCATATGTGACTTTCTTAAGAACCTCAATAGCCCAGCACATGAAATATGCACGCTTCGAAGGCTGAAAAAGAGACTTCGCTAAATCCAGAATGTTTGAGTCACCGAGCCCATCTTTCGTGAGCTTGATCCACAAGAGAGCCGCATGCCTGTAGAACGGGTATGTGTCGTCTCTTTGACGAGTGGCTGAAACTTCTTCGCTGGGCCACTTATCAAAGTTCTCCATTTGAAGAAATCGCAGACACTGCGAAGTAAGAAGCGAGTTTGTGGTATGTTGAGCTATCCAGTACTTTTCTATCCCGGCATGTTGGCATATTGCGTTCTCGTCTTCCAGGAATTCGCGGACAGAGAAGTGGGCGAATTCGAAGTACTTTCCATCAGTGGATTTCCGAATGAGGCTGCTACACCTATTCAGGATTTCGTATTCCGGTACAGTATTGCCTTGGTCTAGCTTTCCTCCGATTGGTAGGGTTGAAACCGCCTGCTGTAGCTCGACTATCGTCAACTTTGGCTCTGCTACAGCCATGAAGTGAAGACACATTTGAACCATGTTTTGCACTCCAAGAGAGCAGTCATTGAGCTTCTCAAGGAGACGGTGGTAACTCTCAGGTAGGTCGGGAGGGAGCTTGCTTAAAGCTTCGCGGCGCTCCTGGTCGTGAGCACAGTTGCACAGGTAGTCAAGCTGGCAAACTACCCATCTGAACCTGGATCTTGTTATTCTGGCTCATGATGTATGTTATTGGCGGTCTTACATCCCATCGGCCTTAGATACCAACGCGCTCCGGATCTCCTCTTTCATATCCACACTGGCCAACTGCAGTTGTCGTGTGCGGATCCTCTTGTCAACTTCGGCATTTACATAGAGTTCAACATCCTCTCTATGTGCCGCTATTTGGATGGGCTCAAAGTCCTCTTCGAGGCGCATACGAATATTGACGTGATCGCGGCTGAAAATAGCCATTGAAACACGCTCAGAGTCCTCGGCTAATTGGATCAAGCTGTCAACCACTTCGTCGGCCAGATCATCACACTCATCTACACCATCAACCACAATGATAGTTTGGTCAAAGCTCTCATACATTTTACCGATCAGATCTCGTAGTTCTTCTGCATCAGCAGTCTGTGGGAGCGCTCCTGGAGGGTTCAGTCTTTCATAATACGTGTCCAGGCCGTTATAACACTCATCGCTTTGACGAGCAAGTTGAGAAGCCAGTGCGCCGAGGATGTTAACGATCTTCCATGTCTCTGGATCCTTGTAATCGCAGAAGAAAAATGCCACTCCTGTCCTGCGAGAAGCGTAACTGTGAGAAAGAGTTTCCTGGATCACGGAGCCAGCGAGGATTGTTTTTCCCGCTCCAGGTATGCCAGTCAGCCACAGCTTGGAGCCTGGTGTTTCGAGCCAGCGAATAAAAGTCGGCGACTCGGTCAACCAAAGCCCAGTCATGGAATGGCGAAGCTTGATACTTGTTTGTAGTGCGGGTTGTGGATTTGCTTTCATAAAATGAGTTAGGATGCGCCTTTTCCGTTTGTTGACGACTATCGTGGTGTTGATCTCAATCCTTCTTGCCACCTCTCCTAAAGCCATTATCTTCTTGTCTATATCACCGGACTTTGAAAGCGACAGTTGTATCTTCCGCATTGAGTCGGCAAGTAAGGCAACACTGATGGTTTCCTTGTGTCTAGACAGCTCAGCCAGAAGCTCTTTCGTTTCTGAGGCTGAGAAGGGCCATTTCAGCTGTCGAACGATACCGTCAAACTTGGACTTCTTGAAGCTGTCGGAGGCTTTCTTGACTCTCGATTCAATTTTGATGAATGTCCTGTGGCAGTGATTAAGGTAGTGGTTCCTCAACGTAGGGTCGGAGGATTGTCCCTCATTCTCAAGATCTGCTGTTAAAGCCTCGAGGTTTCGCAACACACTCGAGAGATTGTTGATCTCGTCTACCAGGCTCTGAATCTCATCCTTCGCATCTTTGGCCGCTCTAATGAATTTGTATGTGGTTCTGAAGATGACATCGGCCAGTGAGATCAAGCCGGCAATACTCGCTGCTAAAGAAAGAGGGTCGGCCATGGCGAATGGCTGCACGGAGTTATCGCATCTCAATGCCAATCATGATGTTAGATAAAAGGGAATAAAAAGACAACGTCTGCCTTGAGGGATGTCATAGCACCCCGCAAGGTGCGGCTGATGCGAGTGTAAGATCATGCAAGTCCTGTCAGCCCTCCACTCATTTCATGCAGAAGGTGCCTTGCTGCAGTTTCTGCCTAAAGCAGGCGCACTCTACTGAACCCAAACCAAGCCTTTGAAAGCGATACAAACATACTTGTAAAAGTCCTGCTTTTTAATGACATGCAACGGTCTCTACAGGTAACAACAGCTATTGGCATATTTAAAAGCACTTGTTCTTTCACGCTCCGCCGGCCAAACTGACCAGGCTACAAGATCTCAAACTCTTTGGGCAGTTCTTTCTCCTGCACCCAAGCAGCAATCCCAGCGGCAAACAACTCTGGCAACTGCAAATGCCATGGATGATAAGCATCCCTCACAACGACAGCCTCATTCTTAACTCCCTTCTTCTCTCCCCCCTCTCTCAGAATAGCACCCATATCTCGTACAGGTTCAATCTGATCCATCTTCCCTCCCGCGATAACACAAGTCCTGACCCCAGAATCTGCAATAGCTTTGACGTCCTCCATACTAAAGGCACTGAGCTCCTTGTTCATCGCCTTGGACCTCTCCGGTGAATGGTTCTTCTTCCCTTCGGCAAGCCATTCTTCATAGTCAATTCCCTGCCGTCGAAACGATGCCTCGAGCACACCGGGAATGTTCTGTATGCAATTCGCAATCGACATGGCCATCGGGTGCTCCATGAACCACTTGAACATTCCTCTATATGGGTAAGCGCCTGTTGAGAACGTCGACAACACGACGTCGGGATGGCGAGAGGTGAGAGTGAGAGCGATGAAACCACCCAGAGATAGACCGACAACGTGTGCTTTTCCGCCGTGTGCGTGCTTTTGAATGACTTTAGATACTTCATCAGCAGCTGATGCGAGTGTGAGAGGACGCCCGATGTCCCAGGATCCAGAGTGCATCGGAAGGTCGACGAGAATCAGGTGATAAGAGGACAGTGATTGCTGAGGAGCAACCGATTTCCATTCAATATGACTGCCTCCCCCACCATGTAAGAATATTATCGATTCATTCTGATCGTTGTTGCGCTCTTCGAAGTAGAGTAGTTTCTCTTCGTCAGTGGGTACTTCTGACATGTTCAGGGTAGGTAGTGCGGGAACGAATTGTTTTACACAAAGTATAATGGCTTTTTACAGCAGCGAATCATATAAGTTAGATTTCTGATAAGTTCAACAGGAACGGGAACTAACTGGGGCTAAGCACGTATTTAACGTATCTGCAACAACAAGCTTTGAGGGACCCAAACTCTCATGACTGCTGAGCTCACGGGTAATCGGCATCATTTGGTGATAAGGAACCAACATGCATACGTAACACAGCTCTACATTGGTCAAACCAACACGAGATCATTATCCTGGGAAGACTCGGTTCAAAAGTTCATAAAAACTACACCTGGTCACTCAGATAAAGGTCGATCAGCTCGTTATCCTCCAATAACCCGGATTTGGAAATTCTCATTCCAATCCACAGTCATGATGAACGCAGGGTGATCGAAAACAGGGGTAGTCCACGCCACAGCGCACGTGGACCCACCCCCATGAAAAGCTAACGTTAACTCAAGCTACCCCAGATCCTCACCTCGAACCCTCAACCTTACCCCTTCACCAACCCTTTCTCTCGACGAAATATCCGACCGCCGACATGGCCGGTATCAGACTCCGCGATGTCAGCGGGTATCTGATCTTGCTCATCGCCATCACGACCCTAGGGTCGTTGCAGTTCGGTTTTCACCTGGTACGTTCCCCAAACCTCAGAAGATCATCGTGACATAACTAACTAACAATCTTAGGCTGAACTCAACGCACCCCAGGATGTTATTACATGCCGCAAGAAATCGATCTCCGCCCTCGACAAGATCAAAGGACTGGTCTACAAGCCGAAAGACGACGATGCTGGCTCTGGCTTCATGCCGCACTGTATCCCAATGGATGAGGCTTCGTTTGCGACGGTATCTTCCATCTTCATGCTTGGTGGGCTGTTGGGAGCTTTGGCCTCTGGACCCTTCTCGTCGAAGCGCGGACGTCTTCCTGCAATGCGTATCACGGGTCTGCTCTATTTATTCGGAGCAGCCGTCGAGACCGTCGCAGGAAGCGTCTTCGTCATGGCGCTTGGTCGCTTGTTCGCTGGTATCGGAGCTGGAGCGTCGACTGTCGTTGTGCCTCTTTACATCAGCGAGATTGCACCGCCCAAGGAACGTGGGCTTTTTGGCTTTATGACGCAGATCTCGATCAATTTCGGTATCCTGGTGGTTCAGACCATGGGATTCTTCCTCAGTTACGGTACTGCTTGGAGATGGATCCTCGCTACTGGAGTCTTCATTGCGACAGCTCAAACTTTGGGTCTCTTCGTTGTCCCAGAGAGTCCATCGTGGTTGGCGGCGCAGGGCAATGCGCCCAAGGCCAGACGGACCCTCCAGAGGATCCGTGGCAACGGCTACGACATCCATGAGGAGACTGAAACCTGGGACTCAGATGACCGTGATGCTTCCGAGGAAGATGGCTTGCTTCAGGCGGATAGTGCCTCCGAATCACCATCAAAGAACCGGACTGCGCATCTTGGATTCTTCGAAGTACTGAAGGATCCTGATACCAGACCTGCAATCGTCGCTGTGGTAGGCATCATGTTTGCCCAGCAACTTTGCGGTGTTAACTCGATCATCATGTACTCCGTCTCTCTTCTTGCTGACCTACTGCCTGTTTCTTCGTCACTGCTCACTATCCTCGTTTCCGTTGTTAACTTGTTCACCACTATCGCATGCGCTCCTCTGCCAGATCGTCTCGGTCGCAAGACCTGCCTCCTTGCCTCGATCATCGGACAAGGTAGCAGCGCTCTCATCTTAGCCATCTCGATCATCTTTGGAATCAAAATCCTCTCAGCCATCGCCGTCGTCGCCTTTGTCGGCTTCTTCGCAGTTGGTCTGGGTCCAGTACCATTCCTGATCTCCTCCGAGCTAGTCGGACAAGAGGCTGTTGGCGCCACGCAAAGTTGGTGTCTCGCAGCCAACTACGCAGCGACTTTCCTGGTCGCTCAATTCTTCCCGATCGTAAACTCAGCTCTTAACGACTTGCTGGGCGGCCACGGATGGGTTTACTTTATCTTTGCAGGTCTAGCTGCTGGGTCTGCTATCTTTGTGTTCTGGAACGTGCCAGAAACAAAGGGCAAGAAGGATGTCGATGAGGTTTGGGGCAGGACAAGGCGCGTGGATTAGAAGCCTGCGACAAATGCTGCCTTGGCTTATCGTCATTAAACGTTCACGATTGCTATAAAGCGTGAGGTACACGCACGGAATGATTTCTTTATTTGTATTCAAGCAGCGTACTAGACAGTCGCAGATATGGCTCTACAAATAGAACGAGGCGCTTGCTGATTTACCGAAAGATCTTCTTGCTGCGGATCATCTGCTCCAACTGCATGACGCCCGCCTTGACTCCGTCGACGATGTAGACAAGGTTACCATCAGCCTTGCCGTACTCCTCAATAGCAGTTGATCGGATGATCTCCTCCAGACCAGCCATACCACCGCATCCCATGAGCACAACCGACACTTGTCCCTCATTGAGCAACTTTCGAGTCGCCTCCTTGAGCTTCTCCCTTACCTTCTCCGGAGGAACAGTGTGAAAGTCACCCGCCGTAAGCCCAGACGAGAAAACACCAGCAAACTTGTTATTCACACCATCCTTCTGCTGTCCAAGAAAGCTCTTGACACCATGCGACAAGTGATCCTCCCACCACTTTCCAGTAGTGACGATTCCCCATTTACCTGCATTATCCGGCGCAGCCATGAGCGAAAGCGACGTGAGGATACTCGCTTCAAAAATACCCGTCACGGCAAGATGTCGATACCTAGTCAACTTTGACACCAAGCAATGCACGCTGAAGCACGCAACGAGAACGCCGTCGTACTTATCCGACTCAAGCTCCTCCTCGATGTTGGGGTCATCGAGGACGGCCTGCGTGCTGCGGTCGATGCCGTCCTGGTCGTTGATGCTGCCTGGGGCGGAGTGGGGAGGGGCTGTGTAGGTATAGATCTCAACTGACTTTTGTAACACATCAGCCTGTGTAGAATTGACGACTGTTTTTGTTTTTAGCTGTCTGTGTATCATACGTCTGGGAGTGACATTTGGCGGATGGCGTTGGCCATGCCTTCGGTCATGATAGTAGATGAGTTTGGGTTTAGGACGAGGATGCGGAGATTCCGCCGGAGGAAACGGAGCTCGGACATGATGGCAGATACAAAGACTCGACGATGAATAACGCAATATTTGTATAGCTTGATGAGGTTCTAAAACTGTTCCTACACTTAATTCTCTCACTTATCTTGAGAGGGGTCTCTAGTCTACAGGACGGAAGCTAAACAGCTCGCTGGGCGCCACGTGATCCCGCCTCAGCCACCTCTGACGACGGTCGGCCACTCGAACCCCACTACTGACGACCACCTCAACCTCCTCTAAGCTGAAGCTCCCATATACCAACACGACACCTCCTCGGCCTCACAACCCTCCCAATACACTCCCCCCCGTCGTGGCCCATCACTATAATGTCTAACCCTCCACCCATTGG